AAAAAAATTTGAACCGTAATAATGGAGAAAAATTGCCAGACGCTTCATCTCTTTTGCTCCTTAAATTCAAGTTCAGATCAAAATTCGAACTGACGAAAGAGGAAGAATGATGTCGCATTGGGTTGAATTGAAAATCATTTTATCCATCATTCGAATAACTGCGCAGTTGTTGACAACTGTAGTAATTGGAATTATTTTGCGTTTAACAACTATCCATCCATTCCCGAATTTTCGAAAGGTGAAATGAGAAAAATCGATTCGTGAATTTTGTGACTGTTTTTGAATTAAATGAAATATTCCCTTGTTCTATTCTAGCTGTGAAAGTTTACCCGAGGTCTAGTACGCAATGCGGCAAGTCAACGTCCATGCTGCAGATCAGTGGAAAACAGTTGGGGAGCAATGAGAAGATTCAAATCCCATACACATATTCCGTTACATTTGTGGTGAGAATTTCGTTGAATCGCTACGTTTTTATTGTGGAGCGCATCGCGAAGATTCGACTAAATCATTTTTCGCCGGAAAATTTTCTTTTTAATTTTTCGCATTCGTGATCATTTTTCCTTTGTATCGTTGGTGAGGCCTCTGGGTTACCAGGAAACATTTCCTGTTACGGGTGGACTCTCTCCGCGACAAAATTCAAGGGACCAGAAAAATATTCGCTGTAGAGAACCCCTGTAAGACTGAATAGAATCCTATGGGAACACATAAAAATGATTTTACATAGCAAGATCGTTGTAGAGAGAGTCCACGTGTACTTGAATGACTAGCCTTAGTTCCTGGAAATTCAGGCAGGTGTCGCCTGAAATCAATGACAACCTAGTTGATGCGATCGTAAATCAAACGAACTTGGCCGGACTGGATTAATTTTTGTAAATTAAAAAAATCGCCAAATCTGATTTTCTCTGTTTTTAGTGAAACGAACAAAAATTCTTCACCGAAATCGACAAACGTAGTTGAAGGATTTTTTTTTTTTTTTACAATTTTCACGTATTTTCAGTGTAATTGTTGAATGTTATCAATTCACAGGAGAACAACACGACGAAGTGGGGCTCTCGTTGGGATCACCTGCTCGAGTCTGGACCGGATTCGAACATCCAGTGGTTCTCAATTCTCAACAGCCTCGTGATCGTCCTATTCCTGTCTGGAATGGTGGCGATGATCATGCTGAAAACGCTGCACAAGGACATTGCGAGGTACAATCAATTGGACGCTGGCGGCAGCAGTGACGACGCCCAGGAAGAATTCGGGTGGAAGTTGGTGCATGGCGACGTTTTCCGGCCGCCCAGGAAAGGAATGCTGTTGGCAGTCTGGGTCGGGTCTGGTGTCCAAGTTTTCCTGATGACGCTCATCACCTTGGGTAATTTGATGAACTTCCGAATGAGTTGGTGCTTTTTGAATTCATGGCGCGTTTATGAGGTTTAGTAGATTCTGATTCAAGAGCTTGACGGTTNTCTTGAAACTTCACAAAGCTCTGAAGATTTAAGTAAATTTGATTCTTTTAGTAAATAACAAAAATAATAAATTTTTATTACAGTATTATTATTTAAGTACGGCTGAATGCAAATTTGGTACGTTCATAAGGCTTTTTTCGTCCCTTCTCTTGGTTAAAAAGCATATGATCACGTGAAAATAATGCAGGTCGACTCTCTCTACAACGATTTTTTGAGCTTGACTTCTGTTGTAGTTTCCAACTGTTATTTTTCTTTCTCGTTTAACGTCTACGTTCCTATTTTTTGTTCGTATATTGTTAGTGTTCGCGTGCTTGGGATTCCTGAGCCCTGCGAATCGAGGATCATTGATGACTTGTGCCCTGGTATTGTACGTGTGCTTGGGTACACCCGCGGGCTACGTGTCTGCCCGACTTTACAAGAGCTTTGGCGGGGAAAAATGGAAGTCCAACGTGTTGCTGACTGCGATGCTCTGTCCAGGGTAAAGTATATATCTTTGATTTTGTGTAAATGTCTCGCATTGAAAGCATATGCTTGAACAGAACATAAAAATGGTACTTTTGGGCAATGCCGAGTACCCTAAATTTATTTTCATTTTTTGCAGACCGCGATTACGTTTCGGTCACCATCGAATGTTCTCTTTTTTTTTATGAAATATTTATGAAGGATTATTTGACTGAACATGCGCCAGAAAAGGGATAAAAATGATGGCGATTTTGTCGATTTTATTCGAATACTTGAGGAATCTTGGTATGAGAATAATGTCAAACAAGTTGTCAAGGTGAAATATGGTTGATCTTTCGGACCATCCGAGAATTCCGAAGTATTTTCTTTCTTTTTTTGCTTAAAAGATATAAGTTTTTCTAGAAATGATGCATGCAGTTCGGGTCCATTTAGAAAGAGTGTTTCAATCCTTACGTTTTCAAGTTGCCTACGAAACTCGTCGAAAATATAATCGTGGACTACAAAAAAATATATTTTTGAAAATGTGAACGAAATTTGACGTTGATCCTATTGTTCTGTTCACAGGATTGTTTTCGGAGTTTTCTTCATCCTCAACTTGGTGTTCTGGGTCATGGATAGCTCGGCTGCTGTTCCGTTCACTACTCTCTTGGCGTTGCTTTCGCTGTGGTTCGGAATTTCCGTGCCATTGACTTTCGTTGGAGCTTATTTCGGCTTTCGACGACGTGTGAGTATTACTTTCAATGACGGAGGAAATATCTGGGCAAAATTTAGTCCTGTTCGAAAGAACGAATTTATTACGAATATTCTTCAGATTTCGAGAGCTGATTTTTCAGGTGTTGGCTTGTAGTGTCGGAGATGTATTCGATTTGAACATCATACTGTGATTCTTGAATCTCAGGCAGATGCCGATTGAGTCTAAAGCGTAGGTTTTTTCGTTTTTTGATAATTTTGAGCGAAACTGTGTCTTCTTCGAAAGAACGAATTTATTACTGTATTTACTAATCTTTTCAATTATTGAATCCTTGAAATGCTGTGCAAAAAACTCGGAGACGCTTTTCTATATAATAAAGAATATCATGAATAAAAAGTAGCAAAGCTAGTTTTCATGCTTTCCACGTGAAATGATTTTTAATGTTGAAAATAATTCCAATTTTATTAACCATTGCGACGAAAGTATTTTGACAAACCCGGCCAAAACTTAGTTTCGGATGAACAGATCACAGTACATCACATTGAAAAACATTCTTGAAATTCTGAGACCAGATTTTTCAGTCAATAGCTTTCATCACCGTAGATGTATTCCAGTTGAACATCAGATGATTCTTGGAAAGCAGATGCCGATCAAGACCAAAGCCGTAGGCCTTTCCGTTTTTTTTTAATGATAATTTATTTTGCATTCTTTTCAGTCATTGGAATATCCGGTGCGGACGAATCAGATACCGAGACAGATTCCAGAACAGAGTGCGTACACACGTCCGGTGCCAGGCATCGTTATGGGCGGCATTTTGCCATTTGGGTGCATTTTCATCCAACTTTATTTCATTCTCACATCATTGTGGTGAGTGTGGAACTTTTTCTCAAAAGTTACGCTTCTTCGAAGAACAATTACGTGATGATTTATTCATTTTGCAGGTCAAGCCAGCTGTTCTACATGTTCGGCTTCTTGTTCCTGGTTTTCATCATCTTGGTTATCACGTGCTCGGAAACGGCCATTTTACTTTGCTATTTCCATCTCTGTGCTGAGGTTTGTATTCCAAGAAGGATTTGATATCTGTGTAGTAACATTTCGTTGGAACATTGGGACGAGTAAAATAGCTTCTTTGTGACATATTATTCTGTAATGAGTCTTAAGAATCGTTTTTATTGGGCAGGAACCTGAACAAGGATTTTTTGCAAGTTACGAGGGTTGGTTTGTAAAAGATGATAAACTGTCACTTGTCGTCATCTGAGGTGGATGCAATTTTTTCGTTTTTTCGGCAATACTTCATTTGTGTCTAATAAATTTTTCATCCACTACACAGCTATAGAAAGAAACAAGAAAAAGAACCTGGATCAGAGTGAATGCCCTCCACTGAAGTGAAGTTTACCATGTAGCCCCCAGAGTTGTAAAGCGTGCAAGTGTGCATTCAGCTGCTCTTGATCAATTAAACTTCTTTTCAGTGCACTTCAGTGGAGGGCATTCACCGTGATTCAAGTCTTTTTCTTGTTTCCTTCTGTAGCTGATCAGTGGCTGAAAAATGTATTTAAAAACAATGAAGGATTGAAAAGCAAAATAAAAACATTCTATCCGCCTCTGATGGAAGACAAGTCGGGCTGTTTATCATCTTTTACAAACCAACCCTTGTATATTTTCTTGAAACGAAATTTATTGTTTGAAAATTTTTACTGTATTTGGGAAATATTTTTAATTATTGTTTAAATCTTTGGAATTCTGTGCAAAAACTCTGAGACGCTTGTTCATCTAGTGTAGAATATCACTAATGAAAATTAGCAAACCTAGGGTTCATGCTTCCCACGTGAAATTACTTTTAATGTTGTAAATAATTGCAATTTAATTGAATATTGCGACGAAAGAATTTTGAAAAACTCGGCCGAAACTTAGTTACGGATGAACAGATTACAGTACGTCATTTTAAAAAACGTCAGGTAATCGTTGAAGATATTTCTTTGCAGATCTGTAGTCCGTTGATAAATTGAAAATATTCATGTATTTGCTGGTTTTAATTTATTTATAGAAACGAATAATTCAAGAAAAAGTCTCGATTTACTTGAAAGCGAAGGTGAAATATGGATTGTGTTCGAAATCGTTGATCGAATGAGATTTTCCATAAATCTTTCGCAAGTCCAGCAAGACTCTTGTTGAAAAAGTTGTTGGATTATTTTATATAAAAGCGGAATTGTATGATGTTGACAAGCCTGCTGTTGATTTATCTGCAAGCCCTTCCTTTTCATCACGAACTTCGCTATAAGGGAAATTGTTATCCTCCTAC